GGTAAATTAAATTTTTGTATTCTTAATTGATAATTATTGCTTGACTTAATTTTTTGCTATTTGAAACTTTGATTTAGGAACTCACAAGATATTTGTGAAAACTTGGGGTTGCTCTCATAATAATAGTGATGGTGAATACATGGCTGGTTTATTAGCTTCAAATGGATATAAAATCGTAAACACAGAAGATGAAGCTGATTTGGTTGTACTGAACAGTTGTACGGTTAAAAATCCATCTGAAGATCATTTTCGTAATGCAATTAACTCGGCCAAAGACAAAAACAAATTCGTTGTGGTTGCTGGCTGTGTTTCTCAAGCCACACCAAATGTTGGTTATCTTAAAAATTTGAGTATTCTTGGTGTTCAACAGATTGACAGAGTTGTTGAAGTTGTCGAGGAAACCTTGAAAGGAAATAGAGTCCGATTGTTGGGTAAAAAAAAGGTTAACAGAAGAAAAGCTGGCGGTGCTTCTCTTAACTTACCCAAGATTCGTCGTAATCCACTAATAGAGATTATTCCTATTAGCACAGGATGCCTAAATCAGTGTACATATTGTAAAACTAAACACGCTCGTGGAGATTTGGGTAGCTATCCAATTGGGGAAATAGTAAACCGTGCAGTTGAAGCATTTAAAGAAGGCTGTAAAGAGATTTGGCTAACCTCCGAAGATACTGGCGCTTATGGTAAAGATATTGATTGTAGTTTGCCTCAGCTGTTGTATGCCTTAATTAATGTGATCCCTGATGGATGTTATCTTCGTCTTGGTATGACTAACCCGCCATATATCAAGGATTATCTTGAAGATATTGGCAAAATTTTATCACATCATCGTGTTTACTCTTTCCTTCATATACCAGTACAATCAGGGAGCGACCAGGTTTTATCTGATATGAGACGTGAATATTTTCGACGAGATTTCGAAGACATTGTTGACTACCTTCGACAAAGGTAAATTAATACCAAATCTAAGTACCAAAATGTAGTAATTTATAATACAATTTATTGTTTATTTCAACAGAGTTCCTGGAATAACAATAGCAACTGATATTATTTGTGGTTTTCCTACTGAAACTGCAGCAGATTTTGAAGAGACATTACAGTTGGTCGCAAAATATAGATTCCCTATTTTGTTTATCAATCAATTTTACCCAAGACCGGGCACGGTTGCTGCCAAGATGGAACGAATACCAGCCCATCAGGTACGATTTTTCATCAACTAACAAACTAGAGATAAATGGGGAGAGAGAGAGAAGGTCAACGATAGCAACTCCATTTACAATTTAGGGATGATAAACTAAGGGATCTCCATATTTATTGATCCGTCGTGTTAACGGTTGTTGGTGGATTGAATTAGAAACAGCTCAACAGCAGTAAAGCCTGCCTTGCGCTATTATGTAGTCAAAAAAACCTTACCTGATGCCAGGAACGTGGCCTGGCTCACTCTCATTCTTTTGTTAGTTACTAACTGTGTTATAGTAGTAAAAGTAAAATGCGGTTTAAGTTGTATTAATTTTACTTCTCCCCGTGAGAAAGAAGCAGCTCTATCTTGTTGTTATATTAGTCGTGAAACTAACCAGCTGTTTCCGATTTTATGATAGCAACATACAAACAGAGAAACTAACAGAGATATGGAGGGAGAAATATAAAGGCATATAAGTGAGAGGGGAACGTAAGTAGCGTCGACTGCATCACCGTCGATCTATGTTTATTATTAAAAATGACGAGTAAGAGCGTTAAAAGAGGCCATATGAAAGATCAAAAGCCTAACTATATTTTGAATCAGACTTACACATTAATAGTGACGTTTATACACAATGGAGTTTGTTTCTTTGCTTACTTTTTGCCTTCCTTCTCTCCCTTTCGTTTTATATTTCCATCTTTTCTCTCTCTCTCTCTCTATCTCTCTCTATCTTTATCTTCCCTCCTCTCCTCCTTTTTCTCGCTTTGTTCTCATTTTTGGGTTCCTCTCGATTTTCACTACATTTTATCACCAGGTTAGAGAGCGAACCAAAAAACTGACGGAACTATTTGAATCTCATCAACCATATGAAGGACGTATTGGTCAAATTTATAGCGTTCTCGTTACCGAAGAGTCGAGAGATCACAGATATTGGGTAGGACACAACAAATGTTACGAGCAAATTTTAATTCTTAAAGACACAAATCTTTTGGGTTGTACGATAAAAGTCCATATTGTCTCGGTGGCTCGTTATTATATGATTGGTGAACCATTCAGATTCACAATGTCTTCCGTAATTAGTACACAAAATATTGCCTTCATTACCGGACTTGCCCTGGTTTCTGGACTAATTTTAATGAAAATCAAATTGAAACTCTAATTGGTACTATTGGAAGGAAGAAACTAAACGCCATTCGCATATTTAATATTGCCTAATAGAATGATAAACTCATCATTTGGCTGACTAATTTCTGCATCAGTCTCTTTGTGCTCATATTTTACCAGACTTTTTCGCCCTCTGCACTCTTTTTTCATCTCTTTCTTTCTTCTCACCCAATTTCTCCCCCCTTCTTTATCTCTCTCTACGCTTGCCTTTCTTTCGATTTTTCTTTCTCTTCGCTTTTCTGGTAGGTTTTGGATCATACTTAGGACAAGGACTAAATGGCAGACCCTTAAAAGAAGGGAGAAAGGAAGAGAGTTGTAGGAAGGAGAGAGATAATCATTTATCTGCTTATTTGACCAAAAACTAATCAATTGTTGTCATCAAAATTTACATTGTGAACATTGCATTTTAACCATCATTTTCATCACCAGTTTACTTTTTAATTGCCAACAACTCTTCTTGTTCAATCTAAATGTGAGGTAAGTAATACATTTTCATATACTATGGCCCCATCAATATTTATTTATATGACTCATAATGTAAAGGGTGTCACGCTTAAAAATTTTGTTAGAAGAAGAAAAGGAAACAAAATAATCTTACCTAAATACAAGTACAGTTATAATGATTAAGAAATGGATCCAATTTTGCTTGACAATTGCATCAATTTTTTGTTACATTTATCCAAGTGGGTTTCTTGTTGATTCTTGATTCTTCAAGCTCAATTGTCATTTTGAATTTCATCAGTTTTTTTCTTGGCCGGATTTGTTGCTCGAGAAAAGCTTCTTTTGTTTAGCTTTAGTCGTTTCCAGGGAAAATGATTCAACTTTATTATTATCCTACGTTAATACAGTAACCCGTTTTCCCTGCTTCTTGACCCTTTCTCAAAATCTTTGTTAATCCTGTCAATAAG